CTTTGTAGCTCAGCGCTCTACCCTGGGGCCACGCAGGCTTGGAGGCCCCAGGATGGCAGAGGGAGGCCCGCGTGTCTGGAAGGACTGAGGGGGCTTGTCCCGCCTCACACACGAGGTACGCCCCAGAGACACACCCGCCCCCTCCCAGAGTGGGTGAGACCGCATCTGCCTGGGGCCACGTGGCCTGCAGCGACCAGCTGGGCTCTGTGCAAACCCAAGCAGACCTTGGCAGGGGCCAAGCCCAGAATGTACAGGTGCAGGTGTCCTGGGTACAGGGCTGGCTTGTCCCATTTTAAAGATGAAGAAACTGAGGCTCAGATAGATCACCGAGTGAGCCAGGTGAGAATCTGGGGCCTTCTGACTTTGTTCAGACTTGCCAAGGAGCCATTTTCTGGAAAGGCCAGGGCTGCCGATTTTCTCTGGAGCAGGGCCAGCCCCCAGGGCCCGCTCTGGGCTTCTGAGACAGGATCCATTCTCTGGAGATCCCACTGTCCCTCCTCAGCCACTCCATATCCTGCCAAAATGGCAAAATCTGTCAAAATTAAAAATACGTCAAGTATGTTTGTTTTTTTGTTTTTTGTTGAGACAGAGTCTCACTCTGTCACCTGGGCTAGAGTGCTGTGGCGTCACCCTAGCTCACTGCAACCTCCAACTCCTGGGCTCAAGTGATCCTCCTGCCTCGGCCTCCCAGAGTGCTGGGATCACAGGCGTGCGCCACCATGCCCAGCCAGCCAAGTACGTTTGACCTAGTGATCTCCCCTCGGAAATATGCCCGCCTGAAACACGGAAGGCCCCAAATGGTGTTTCCTGGAGCACTCTCTGTAATAAACTGCAGACAAGCCCCAAGTACCTGCGATTTAATCACAAAGTTAAATCATAACGGTCGTATTTGTAGAGTGCCTGCTGCCTGCCTGGCACAGCTGCAGAGCTTTACAGCTATGACACTCGGGTCCTCCCTACAACCATATGGAGTTAGGTCATAGAATTTCCATTTTACAGATGAGGAAACTGAGGCCCAGGCAGGCTAAGGGATTCATCCAGGTCATGCAACTCGAAGTGGCTGAGCCAGGGCCAAGTTCAGGCAGCCTGCTAGAGCCTCTGGCCCCGTGATTGCTTGGCCATGCTGAGGGGTGCGGTGGATGTGCACAAGAAGGCAGTGGGTCCCCAGGGACCCAAGCAGCAAGGCGTCCAGACACACCGACAGGGAGAGGAAGCAAATGGCAAAACCATATTAGAAAAAAAAATATGGCCAGGTGTGGCAGCTCATGCCTGTAATCCCAGCACTTCGGGAGGCCAAGGCAGGAGGATCGTTTGAGACCAGGAGTTTGAGACCAGCCTGGGCAACACAGTGAGACCCCATCTCTACAAAAAAATAGAGAAATTAGCCAGGTATGGTGGCACACACCTGTAGTCCCAGCTACTCGGAGGCTGAAGCAGGAAGATAGCTTGAGCCCAGAAGTTTGAGGTTGCTGTGAGCTAGGCTGATGCCACGGCACTCCAGCCTGAGTAACAGAGTGAGACCCTATCTCTAAAAAAAAAAAAAAAAAATAGAAAAAGAAAAGGAAAGAAAAGAAAAGCATTAGCATTGGCTGGAATTCACAGGGAGGCGGATCCCCAGGCCTGGGTATGGGACTTTCGCTTTCTGTGCTGGCTCCACCTCTCCTATCTGGATTCGTTTTTCAATAACATGTAGTTATTCCTTTAGTTTCTGAAGACAGTTTGAAAAAGAAAAAAAATCAAAAGCAGAAGTGCATTTTGGAATGTGCCCACCCTTCCACAGCACCTGGGCCGAAAGCCCTCCTGCCCAGCAGGGCCTGCACTCCCCGCCGCTCCGGGCCACGCTTGGGTTACTTGTGCGATGTCTGTCGCCCCCTAGAGGACTCCAGGCCTTCCTCGCGGAGGCCGGGCGGACAGGTGCACAGAGCGGGTCTTGGGGGCGGGCGGAGGCCTAAAGTCAGCCTGGACAACAACAACAGGAACCCGGCCGTCGGAGGGGTGGCCCGAGGCCAGTGGGCACCGGGGGGCTCCCCCTCCTGCCATCCACGAAAGAGCCAAGGTCCACTGCCAGTTGGAGAAATGGACGCAGAGAGGTCACGCACTGGCCCAAGGTCACACAGCTGGGAGAGGCAGAGCCCTGGCCCAAGCCCAGGCTGAGGGCTCCTCCTCCGACCCACGTGGGACTCGCCCCTGGCCAAGGCCACAGCTAGTCCTCGATGTGGCCTCCCTCGAAGGAGGCTGGGCAGGGTCCGGGCAGCTCCATTCTTGTTCATGCTACTTTTTTTTTTTTTTTTTGAGACAGAGTCTCACTTTGTTGCCCGGGCTAGAGTGAGTGCCGTGGCGTCAGCCTAGCTCACGGCAACCTCAAACTCCTGGGCTCAAGTGATCCTCCTGCCTCAGCCTCCCGCGTAGCTGGGACTACAGGCATGCACCACCACGCCCGGCTAATTTTTTCTATGTATTTTTAGTTGTCCAATTAATTTCTTTCTATTTTTGGTAGAGACAGAGTCCTGCTCTTGCTCAAGCTGGGCTCAAACTCCTGAGCTCAAACAATCCGCCCGCCTCGGGCTCCCAGAGTGCTAGGATTACAGGCGTGAGCCACCGCGCCCAGCCATGCTGCTTTTTATTATGTCCTATGACAACAGGTCCTACGCCTGGCAACGCAGGGCTGGGCAGCTCTCTGGATGTGGGGTAGGGGGAGAAAGATAGGTGTCCGGGGCTTCTGGCTCAGGTGCCATGGGGCGGGTGGCACTTGTGTGTTGGACACTCTGCAGGAAACATGGGACGGAGTGGTCCCTGTTCTTTCTGTTAGACAACATGCTTCACACTCCCTCCAAGGTTATTGGCTTCTCAAGTGCAGCATCTGCAACTGACCCTGAGTCCCAGCTGCATTTGCCTTGCCCAGAACAGGCCCCTCGCCTCCTTCCTCTAGGCCCCATGCTTCTATTAATGCGGCCTCAGCATTTGGCTGGCCAATCCCACAGGGACATGCCCGGAGCTTGCCCTGAGTGGTCATAGACACGAGGCCAGTACTGTCCTCATTTCGTAGGTCCAGAAGTGGAGGCACAGAGGTTGAGGGAGGTGGCCCGAGGTCTCGCAGCCATGAGTGGCGGAGCTGGATTTGCAGGCAGGCAGCCTAGCCCCCGACCAGACGCTGAGCTTCGTCTCCCTAACAGCCAGGACCAGCGTCAGGACTGGCCTTGGATGGGCCACTGCCTGCCCTTTGCCCTTTGCCGTGGCAGCTGGCACTGCCTGTCCTTCGTCCCCCACTTGCCCACACACACACAGGCTGGTAGGGGGAATGTCCCTGGTCATCACCCAGCCCGTTCAAGGCCAGCCTGCCGGCCAGCTCACCAGAGACAGGAAGTCAAGTGGACAGGAAGACTCTTGCCCCACTGCCCTGCCCGTAAGGACACTCAGACAGGGCTGCCTGGAGCCCTCTCCCCATCCCACTGCTTTCTGCTCAGGAGCTGTGTGGCCCTGGCACATGCAAGGCCTTTCTGAACGTCAGTGTCCCCATGGTCACCTTACAGGGCTGCAGCGTAGTCACACAGGGCGTGCACAAAGCCCCTGTGAGAGTCCACGGGGTGATGGCCACCAAGACATGGCTCACAGCACCAGGGCTGTCCCTGTGCTGGCCTCGATGTCACGGAGGGCGGGTTGGGTGAGAGCAGCAGGGGATCAGATCCAGCTCTGCAGCTTTTTTTTTTTTTTTTTTTGAGACAGAGTCTCACTCTCTTGCCTGGGGCCAGTGCCGTGGCGTCAGCCTAGCTCACAGCAACCTCACACTCCTGGGCTCAAGCGATCCTCCTGCCTCAGCCTCCCGAGTAGCTGGGACCACAGGCACATGCCACCGTGCCCGGCTAATTTTTTAGCTGTCCAATTAATTTCTTTCTATTTTTAGTAGAGACGGGGTCTCGCTCTTGCTCAGGCTGGTCTCGAACTCCTGAGCTCAGAACGATCCGCCCGCCTCGGCCTCCCAGAGTGCTAGGATTACAGGCGTGAGCCACCACGCCCGGCCTCAGCTCTACTGCTTTTGTGCCTCCGACAAGCCCGCTTTCTGGGCCTCAGTGGCTCCATCTGTAAAATGGGGACCACTGGTGGTGCCCCGCCTCCCTCCTGGGGCTGCGAGGAGGGGTCCAGGAGCTAGGCAGTGAGGAGACGTGATAAACTGTGGAGTGGGGACCTGTGCCGCGGGGGGAGGGTGGGGGGAGGGTGTCACTGTGTGTGCACTGTTGTCACTGTGTACCATCATTGCACATGGCCAGCAGACAGCAGTGCCTCCTGGTGGATGGCGTCCCCTTGGGAGAGCCCCGGCCAGCTTGCTTAGAGGCTCAGTCGGCAGCCCTGTCCCCGGTTCATGCTGGGCACGGGGGACTCAGTGGGGCAAACCCGGCTGCGGCCTCTGGAGCAGAGGACAACAGGGGACCAGGGCGGCGGGGGGTGGGGGCAGACGTGGGTGCTGAGCCCAGGCAGGCTTGGGCCAGCCTCCCCTGCACTCAGTCCTCCCTGGCCCGTCACCCCCACTCCCTCCCTCCCTGCCACTGGAGCGATGGGAGGACAGGGACGGCTCTTGTTTGCCTAGTGCAGCCTCAGCTCAGAGTGTTTGTTGAATGAATATGTGAGAGAGCTTTGAGGGCTCCCCAGGCAGGAGTCCTGAGCAAATCCAGGGCAGTCAAGAGGCCCAGAGGACACAGCGAAGGCCTGAGCTGGGGCTTGCAGGGGCCAGCGGCGGGGCAGTGATCCTGCCCCCGGTCCCTGCCCCCGCCAGTGACCTCTCACAGACTTCCCAGATACCTGGTCCCCAGGACACTGGGACAAGGGTCCCTAAGGGGAGGGGTGGGAAGGAGTCCAGCTGTGTGGCACGTGGTCGTGGGCATCGACCTGCTGCCTCTCAGCACAGCTGGGGCCCCGCCTTTGGGCCACTGTCAACAAGCTCTGGCTTCCTGCCCCCTGCCCCCCACCGCAGGTATTTAAGGTCTGGGAGGAGCGGGCGGGCGGTGTTGAGGCCACCCCGGTGGTGGCACCAGCGCACTCCAGGGCAGCAGACCCAGGGCCTTTCCTCCCAGCTGCGTTGTTCATGGATTTTGTCGCTGGAGCCCTGGGAGGTAACAGACAGGGGCGGCGGGCGTGCGGGGCACCAGGAGGGGCTGGGGGACAGGCTTCCGGCAGCAGTGGGGTTTGAGGAGCTCCCTGGTGTGGACCGTGGCAGCTGGAAGGAGAGAGCAGGCTCCTGGGAGACACAGGCTGGGTGCGGCGGCGACCCGGCCTGGGAGGAGGAGCAGGGTCGTCTGCACTGGCCTGGGGGCTTGGGCAGGAGGCCGAGGGTAGGCTGGGGACGGGACTGTGGTCCAGACATGGGGGCCACTCGGGAGGCCGAGGGTCATTGCCATCCGGGCTGGGAGTCCTTGGCGTGTGAAAGGATGATTGAGCCACAGCCTGAGAGGCCCCAGGGGAGGGTGGAGAGTGAGGGGACACAGGCCTGGGTCCTGGAGGTCCCCAGCCCGCCCACTGCTCTGGCTGTGTGTGCCTGGCTGGGTCTCTGGAGAAAGGGCTCTTTGCAACAGACCCAGAGAGATAAGCGGCCCCTTGGGACACAGGCTCAGAGGCCGTCGACCCTGCAGGCCGTGGGCTGTTTTGAGCGAGGCACTGTGGCCTTGCTCGTCTTGTGAAACAGCAGTGGGCAGCGTCGATGCTTCTGGGAATAGCACTGGGGGTGAGGGGAGGGGCGCGGCTCCCAGCCTGGGGAAAGACCAGGGCCCTGGCCCCACCAGTGGGCTTCCTGAGGTCCTACTCTGCGCCAGCCGAGGCCGACTGCTCCCAAGCCTGGCGTCCTTCCTCCGGAGCCCTTGGGAAGGCGTGGGTGGAAGGGCCCCGCTCTGTGCCTGGCCCCGGGCCTTGTCCCCGAGGAGCGCTAGGTCTGGAGGTGGAGATGGCATGGGTGGGACGGCAGCAAGGCCATCTCTGATCAACATGTTTCCAGGCACAGAGGTCAGGGAGGGCTCCAGGGAGGCGGTGACGCTGTGGTGGGGTTTTGAAGGGCCAGCTGGAGTCCAGTGAGGTGTGTGAGGGCACTTCTGCCCAAGCCACTCAGTCTTTCGCTCGTTCACGCATTCTTCGATTCATGAGTATGTATCCAGGCCTGGGAGGCAGTGAATAGGCCACAGGCCCGTGCACCGTCGTCCTCCGACTGCCTTCACACGCCCCCTCAGGGCAGGGCACGGCCCCCCCAGGGACCTGCCTGTTCCTTCTCTGGCTTGTCCCTCGGACATGGAGGCCCTGGTGTCAGGAAGGAGAGGGGAACAGGACAGCGGCACCCGGGCGCCCTGGCGGAGGGTGAAGGGCCCTGGTCCAAAGCCTGGCCTGGCGCCCGAGGCCTCTGCAAGGCGTGGACTCTCGCCGCATTCTGCTCCACGCACACGGTGGCTCCAGGCGGTGCTGGCTTGTCACAAAGCCCGGGGCGAGCCTGGGCTTCCCTCCTCCCCGCCGCAGCTGAAATGTGCAGTTACCTCCCGGCTTGTGCGCAAACCCTCACAGACTGCCGGCTCGCGGCAAGCGCGGAGCAAGGGTCAGACCAGAAGTTCTCCCCAAACACGACACTACGGGGAGGCCGAGGAATGTCCTTGGCACGAGGTGATGAGGACAGGGCACCACTGGGCCAAGACTCGGGGCAGGACAATCACTGGCGAACCTGGCGGAACTCACCTGGAGGCTGCCCCTCACCTGCAACGTGGGGGTTGCTCTCGGCATGGACGGGGCCTGGTGCAGACCGGACAGGCAGGGGGTCTGCTCTCGGCGGGGGCCCAGTCGGGGCTCACCCTCCGCCATGCCCCGTACAGCGAGCTCACGCTGCTTGCGAGCCTGTCTCCCACTCTCCTCACGGGCTCTGCTTTCCTTCCAGGTGTCTGCGGTGTTGCTGTGGGCTACCCCCTGGACACGGTGAAGGTGCAGCAATGGCCCGCCCCCACCCCAGGGCCCCTCGGTGTGTCTATCCTGCACCCCCATCCATGGCCAGAAGACTTTCTAGAATGCTAATCAGACCCAGCCCTCTCCTGCTCAAATGCCTTCAATGGCTCCCCATGGTCCCTGGGACTATTTCAGTCTCTCTTTCTCAACCCCAGGCCTCAGGTTTCTCATCTTAAATGGGGCTCATTGTCCCCACTCTGCTTACAGACCAGCATGGCCATGACAAGCAAGGGTGACTCTGCTCTTCCCCAGGGCCTGCTGACCATGCCCTAGGCCTGGAGCCACCCTGTCCTGAAGCCCACTTCTCCCCTAGGTCAGGATCCAGACGGAGCCAAAGTACACAGGCATCTGGCACTGTGTCCGGGACACATATCGCCAAGAGCGGGTAGGCCTGGGGCCAGGGGATGGGCAGGGGGCCAGGGAGGGGGACGTCGGGGCCTTGGGCCCTAGCCCTGCCACTGACCAGCCAGTGGGTGATGCCTCAGCTCTGACCTTCCGAGTGGGAATAACTGTGCCGACCTCATGGGCTCCTCCGTGGACGAGGGGCTCAGAACCGGGTTCCTGACCCCAGCAGAGGGTCTAGAGGTGGCCTTGAAGGTTGGGGAAGGGACCCATGTGTTGCATTCCTGTCCCCTCCAGGGCAGGCACCTCCTGAAGGCAGTGCTGGATGGAGTCATCAGGGGTCTCAGGGTCCTGCTCAGACCCCATCCAGGGAAAGGACTTGGGGACACTTCCCAAAGTGAACTTGGGGTTCCGTGCAGGCCAAGAGTTAGCCCATGAAGAGCAGCAATGAGAGAACACGTTCGTTCTCTGTTATCATCAAACAGCTGCCCCAGTCAGGCCTGGCCCCGCCCCAGCCTCGCAAGTGGAGTATCATGAGCCTATGTGGCAGCTGAGGAAACAAGGCCCCGAGGCCGTGCCTTGCCCAACTATGGGCACGAGGGCGGCAGAGCGGTGAACCGCAGCTCCCGGGCCTGGCGCCGGGCTCCCTTGCGCGGGGCCCTCCTCCTGCCTGGCTTCTGGCCTGACTCTCGCCTGTCCGCCAGGTGTGGGGCTTCTACAGGGGCCTCTCGCTGCCCGTGTGCACCGTGTCCCTGGTCTCGTCTGTGTCTTTCGGCACCTACCGCCACTGCCTGGCGCACATCTGCCGGTTCCGGTACGGCAGTGCCGAGGCCAAGCCCGCCAAGGCTGACATCACGCTCTCGGGATGCGCCTCTGGCCTCGTCCGTGTAAGTGAGGGCGGCAGGGCCAGGGAAGGCCTCGGAGAGACTAAGGTGGGGAAACCGAGGCTTGGGAAGGGCAGACTGGAGGCCACACATGGAGCCGGGGGACGGTGGGTGTGGAGCCAGCGTCCGGCCCGGGCTCAGCAGCGCACGGATGAGGGGTTTCAGCTGTCCTGCCCGCGCAGTCTGGGGGCGTGGGGGTGGGCTGAACAAAGGGACTCTCCCTGCCAGGGTCTGGGGACCCAGAGAGACAGAAAGTCACCTAGCAGCCACCACGGGGAGCTGAATAGGCAGGCCCGGGGGTGCAGAGATGCCTGGACACAGTCGGTGGCTGCCACAGACACTTGGCGTTCCTCATTGCCAAGTGTGCACGGAGCGCCTGCCGTGCCCGGCCGGCCGTTGGTTGCGCACAGGGGTGGCCAAGGCAGCCGTGGTCCCTGCCTCATGGCTCACACCCCAGCGGGGAGCCAGACTTCAACCAGCACAGAACCACCGGGAGCTGCCACAGGGCTGCGAGGGAAACCGAGGAAGGCGTCCAACCACGTGCAGGCAGCACAGAGGCCGAAGGCCTGGCCAACCGGTCTAGGGGACCAGGCTCGACTCCTGGTTCTGACTCTTGTTAGTTGAGTGACCTTGGGCCAGCAAGGGAGCCTCTCTGAGCTTCTGTCTCTTCGTCTGTAAGAGGCATGATGAGAATTAAGTGAGGTCATTAGTGTAAACCCCCGGCACACACACCCACAAAATGGCAGCTAATATTAGTGATATGACCATATTACTGATAATTATGGTATTAAATATGTTCACGAACCTGAGTCACAGACATTTACTTAGCTCCCTGACATTGCTGTGGCCCCATGAGGCCAACGGAGGCCAGGGACAGGGGTGTGTGGGCAGAGTTGCGAGTGCCGCCCCATCCCTGCCTCCTCCTCCGCTCCAGGTGTTCCTGACGTCACCCGCTGAGGTGGCTAAGGTGCGCCTGCAGACGCAGCAGCGGCGGCCCTCGGCCTCAGGACCCTCTGCTGTGCCCCCGCTGTGTCCTGCACCTCCTGCTGCATGTCCGGTGCCCAAGTACCGCGGGCCGCTGCACTGCCTGGCCACGGTGGCCCGTGAGGAGGGGCTGCGCGGCCTCTACAAGGGCAGCTCGGCCCTGATGTTCCGGGAGGGCCACTCCTTCGCCACCTACTTCCTCTCCTACGCCATCCTCTGCGAGTGGCTCACCCCCGCTGGCCGCAGCCAGCCAGGTGAGTGGGGCTGAGGCCCGGGTGGGCAGGGGGCCAGCCCAGCAGGAAGAGGAGGGCGAGGCGAGGTCATGCTGCATGCCGGTGCCCGGGTGGGGACTCGAACCCAGGGCTCCTACCTCCTGGGCTAGGAGCCTCAGTTCCCTCAACACCACGGGGCAGGACAGACCTGCTCTGTCTCAGTCACTGTGTGGCCTTGGCAGGTCACACCTCCCTCTCCCAAGTCTCAGTTTCCCTACTTGCACAATGAGGATGGGATGGCAGTGAGCCCAGGGTGCCCAGCGGGGCTCCCAGTCAAGGCACTGTGGTCTCTCTGCAGATGTCCTGGGTGTGCTGGTGGCCGGAGGCTGTGCAGGGGCCCTGGCCTGGGCTGTGGCCACCCCCATGGACGTGATCAAGTCACGCCTGCAGGCGGACGGGCAGGGCCAGCAGCGCTACCGGGGCCTCCTGCACTGTGTGGCGACCAGTGTGCGGGAGGAGGGGCTGCGGGTCCTTTTCAAAGGGCTGGCGCTCAACTGTTGCCGTGCCTTCCCCGTCAACATGGTGGTCTTTGTCACCTACGAGGCTGTGCTGAGGCTCACCCAGGACCTGCTCACATAGCTCGTCCCGACACCCCAGCAGCTCGCAGCGGCTGGAGGAGGCAAAGGGGAGTGCTGCTGAGGTCGGGCTCTCACAGGGCCACCAACCAGGACAGCCGGGAGCCTCCCTGTGCCGGTCAGCTGAGGCCGGAGCTTGGCCTGCCCAGCCACTGACCACAAGAAGGTCCAGGGGCTGATCTGCCATCAGCCCGGGGCTGGCCTGAGGGTCACACGAGCCAGGGAGGAGGGGGCCTCTGTTATGGGCGCATGTCACGTGGAGTCGGTCGTCATTTGGTCAGTTGTCCGTTCCAGCTTCCCTGTGGCCTCTGTCCTGATCCACGCCTTCAGAACACCCCTCCATTGGCCCAGCCGCAGGCTTCGCCACCCTCTACCCCGTCCCATCCTTCTGCCCCCACTGCCATTTCTCCCATGCTCTTCACGCACTGTCCCCTCAGAGGCAGGCGCAGCTGCTCTCCCCACCAGCCTGGGGGCTGCGGTGAGCCTGTGCTGGGCTGGCACCATGTGTGGCTCCAGGCCCGGCTTGTTCCCTGCACCAGGCTGCGCCGAGAGGACACTGCCAGGACAGCCGTGCCCACCTGGGCTTTGGCTCTGGCAGGGGCCTGGGGTCACCGTCCTTGCCCGGGAATTCAGTGCGCCCTTGCTGCTCGCACCCTCGCTCTGCCTGCAGATGCCGCACCTGCCCGTCAAGACCCCAAAGGCCGATTCGGAGCTGTTGTCAATAAAAGGTTTCTGAGGGTTCCAAGGCGGCTCAGTGGTGTTGCTCCTGGTCTGTGGGCTGCTGACCCCTTCCCTGCCTCCAGCGCATCCCGGACCCCCAGAGGCCTGCTTGCCCATGCCGGCGGTGTGTGGCCATGGCCCTGTCCAGCTCCCTTCCTGCTGGACAAGCCCCCCAGCCTGAATGGCCAGAACTCCCTCTATGCAGACGGGCACCCTGGCTGGCTCCACTCGCCCAGCTCCCGGCTGTGGGGGCCTGGCCTGTGGCTCTGAGCCCTGCCGCAGGGGTCTGTTCAGCATGACACCTGCTCTCCTCAACATCCGTCCCAAACCCACCCGCTTCCTGAGTGCAACCTGGTTCTAGCCAGTTCCTCCCAGCTGCCCCGGCTGTGAGCCGCCCCTCCAGAGGGGGTGGAGGTGGGAGGGTGCCAGGCACCTTACCCGGCTCCCGGCAGCCTGTCGCCAGCAAACAACTCAGGGAGGGAGAGGGGCTCTCTCGAGGCCACACAGCTGGGAGGGGCAGGTGGGACTTGTACCTGTGCCTCTGCGGCCCCCGGGACGGGGCCATCAGGGCCAGGGCTGGCAGGCCCAGCATGAACCCTCTGAGGCTCTACCATGGCAACCCTCGATGAAGCGGGCGCACACCTGCCTCGACTACACTCACGCGCAGACACCGGCCCTGACAGCCCGTGCGCCCAATGCCCTCCAGGTCCTGCTGAACCAAACCCTCTATTCCCAGGATGCGGGGAGACCCCCTTCCCGCGTCTGCTCCTGTCATGCTGGTCCCGTATTTGCTGTGCTCGTGGGTCCCGGACCTTATGCCCTGCACCCTTTGCCAGGGATGCCCGCCCCCGCTCTGCCTGGCTGACTGCCCCTCTCAGGCATCACCTCCTCTAGGAAGCCCTACCTGCCTCACCACCAGGCTTCCAGGTGTCTCCTGCTCTGTTCCCATGGGGACCTGGTTGGTTGTCTGTCACTCATCTGCCCCCAAGCCCGCCCCCGCGCCTGTGAGCCGCCCGAGGACAGTATGTAGCAGCTGGGCTTGGTGCATAGCAGGTGCTGAGGGGCGTGGAATGAATGAGCGAGTGGATGGGTGAACGGAGCCCTGCGGCAGATTCCTGGAAGTGCGTCCAGCTTAGAGAGTGAAAGGTGCTGAGATGCTCTGGCCAAATGCTGGGAAAAGGGCACCAGCTAATGAAAGGTTCCAAGGATCCCTCACACGCTGCCCCGGGGCCACTTCTGTCGAGAAGACACTTGTCTCTGCCTTGGGAGGAGGGTTACTGGCAGCACTGCTGGCTCCAAGGGTCCCAGTCGGGGAGGGTGTATTGGCTCCTTCTGAGCAGCTGGCTCACTGCGCTGTCACTGGGGAGGTGGCTTTGCAGGAAGGACCCTGTACATACTCTCCCTACAACCTGTTAGTGGCAAGGACCAGCGCCCTCTTTAAAAATAGAGAAGTGAAGCAGGGTAATCCTAGCACTTTCGGAGGCTGAAGCAGGAGGATTGCTTGGAGGCCAAGAATTCAGGAGTTCAAGACCAGCTTGGGCATTGGCGAGACCCCATCTCAAAAAAAAAAAAAAAAAAAAAGTGAAGGATCTGGGAGAAGGAGCTGACCTGGAATCACACGATCCGGCAGCAGCGGGGTCCTCCCGTTACGTGCGGCTGCCTTAGCAAAGCCAAGGTTGTGCGTGAAATTACAAATGGGAGATAAAGGGTGGCCCCCAGGCTCCCACAGCACAGAAGGACCAGAGCATCATGGGCCTGGGGAAGGGCTGGGGGGAGCTGTCTGCTGCTGCAGTGTGGGCTGGAGGCTGGAAGCCAGAGGCAGGCCCGTGTCCTGTTCCAGTCGCCCCTACCTGTGCCACCCCTCAGCCCCACCGCTGTTTTGTGGGCTCTTCACACACTGTCCCCCAAAGGCAGACTCAGCTGCTCCTCCCACCAGGCTGGGGGCCGTGTGGCGAGAGGCCAAGCTGGGCCAGCACCCCGTGGCCGGCCAAGTGGGCATTACCTGCTGGAGCGAAGACTGCTCTCCTGGCACTGCCCGCACCCCAGAGGGCTGAGATTGACCTCGTACCTCACCCCCAAACACCTGCTGGGCCACCACACCTGTCCCTCCTAATCCAGATGAGCCCTTTCTCAGGAAACTTCAAGAAACCAACTGGTTTTCAGCAAAATGTGGAGGAGGTGCAGAAGCCCTGCGGCTCTCCTCTGTTCTGACCAGGCCCCTGACTGCGGACCCAGGGGACTCCTCCAGACCCTGAACCCCAGGCAGCACTGCTCGCCTTTTACAGGGCAGGAGAGGGAGGTCCCGAGAGGTTAAGTGACTTGGCCAAGGTCACGCAGCTGGTGAGGGAGGAGCTTCGTGGGTGTGTTCCTCCCCGGGCCCAGGGCCCCGCCCGGGCCCTGCCAACAGATGCTCTGGCTGGTCTGTCACTGACAGCAGCAGCTCTCCCACACTGGGGACTTCGCGCGTCGGCCCTTACCTCATCCACACACTTGCACCTGTGACTTAGGCACCAGGGAGCCACACAAAGTCCTATTAGTTGTCCAGGGCAACCTGGCTCGTGAGCTACAGCATCCTGTGAAGGAAGCTCGTCCCCACTGGCCACTGCCATCCAGGCGGGCAGGGGCTGGGGCCTGGGAGGCCCAGAGGGAATGGAGGCTGGGAAGAGGAGACCTAGGTGAGGTCACGCTGCACACTGGCACTCGAGTGGAGACTTGAACTCAGGGCTCCAGCCTCCCAGGGTGGGAACCCCAGTTCCGTCAATTGCAAAACAAGCCCCCTGTGTGCGTGGAGACAGCAACACCAGGAGTCAGGGCAGCCCCACGCTGTCACAACACAAGGTCGCACATGGCCTTGGACAAGTCACGTTCCCCTATCCCAAGCCTCAGTTTCCCCACTTGCAAAATGAGGATGGACGGGTAGAGTGAGCCCTGGGCCCCATGGGAACGGGGCCTGGCCCAGCTCCCAGTCACTACAGAGCACTGCCTGAGCACCCCATGGCTGGCCCCCTCCTCCACAAAATGAGGACAACATCTGTTTGCGTTCTCTGCCAGGCCACTGGGAACATCCAGTGAGGTGAGAGAGCCTCAGGGGGACGCTGTTGGGGCCACTTCCCAGCATGAGCAACTGCAGCCTGGGCTGATTCCTGGGAGCCTGCATCTCAGCGCTGTGCGGTTTCCAAGACTGTGTGTTTTCAACCCCAGATGTGACCCCAGCACACTTTTAAGGCCATTCACCGAGGGGCCAGGGGAGGGGCCTCTGCTCCCTCCTCAGACCTCCCAGACAGAGCACAGCCACGGGGGCAGGCAGGAGCGAAGGAAGTTTATTTACTCCAACGGGCAAAGCCGTCAAGAGGAGACCCAGATTCGTCAACCGAGGGCTTTCCCTGAGATGTGGCTTTGCTTTTCCAAGCCTGCACGTGGTGTGTGACTCCAGGCAGCCTGCCCACAGACACCCGAAAGGGCCTCGAGGGCTGATGCCACGCTTTTCTAGCTACGTCCACCGCAGGGGACATGGCCAGACATGGCCAGGGCACTGCTCTGCTGACTTCTACTCCAGTCAAGTGTCAAAGCAAAGGCCACAGTCTCTCCTCAGCATCTAACACAGTCAGGGGTGAAGCCACCTCTGGTTTCTGAAGGATGGAGTGTCGAGGATTATTTGTTGGGCAAAAAATTAGTATGCTAAAGGAAAGAGCATGATTTCTGGAGTGGAATACATGCATGGTCTGGAGTTCAGTAAGTAAACTGAAAAGTTTCACCCACAAGACTCAATTTAATAAAAATTGCCTGATTCTGTCCAATATTCAATGGTAAAAGTAGCTTTTAAAGCTGGGTGGTTTCTTAGTTAAATGTTTAGCAAAGCTCTTATTGATAGATTTTTTTTTTTTGGCATGAGCTGAAATACATCTTGTGCTCATTAAACTTCCCTATGTATTGTTTCAAAATACTTTTTGGCCTTACAATAATGACATCTTGATTCCATATATGCATACATAGAATACATAGTTTTTTGCAGCATAGATTTTAAGAGTATATTTGGAAGCCCGGGATGTTTTCGAATGGACAGTCCTCTGTGGTCACGGCAGGCTGGCCAACGGACTTCCAGGCATGGGCTCCACTCCCGGGGTTGCTTTGTGGGAGAGACTCCAGCTGGATTCTCTATCTGGCCATGCAAAGTTAGCCAGCACCCTATCACCCCACAGTGTCTTGCCCACAAGAGACAGCAGTGATAAAAGTCACAGGAAGAAACAGTATTGAGAACACTCAGGGGCTTGGAGACATCAGGCCCAGTAATTACCATGTGACAGAAGTCTACAGGTAGCGGTGCTTTGATTGGGCTGGGATTACTGATACATTACATCTCTTTATATGCATA